GGGTTCCTTCCAACTATATTAACAGTGTTGTTGACTTCTGGATTAATCTTAGAAGAAGCAATGACCTGTCTAAAACATGAATGCTGTTTTCCTTGAGAACTTCTTTTTTTTTTTTTTTTTCCATATTTTCCCAAGTATCAGCACCTATAAAAAATGGCAAAGTGATCAGAAGAGTAGGTTGTGGGGTTTTATAACATATCTAAAATTAGGAACTTGAAAATGTGTTCCCGTTGTCTTTTTGTGCTTATCTCCAGGCTTTCCAACTAAGAAGGATTCTTCTTGTTCTCATAACACTTCTAATAGTTAGACAGGGTTATTTTTACAATCTGAGTTTGCTATGCTGAAGTAAAGATTTGAAAGGACTGGGAAATTGTGTGGTCCGTCATTTGTGTGGTATTTTAAGTAGTAGACTTTTTCTCAAAAAGGGTTTTGAAATCTGAATCTGAGTGAATTTATAAAGTGTTTGTAATTCTGTCAGAATCGGAAGGCTGAGGACTGTAAATTTTCACTTGTTAAATAGCTAGCTTGACCAATGGCAAATGAATAGGCTCAAAGGTTAAAGGCAATGGTTCACTGAACTCTATAGCAGACTGCATGAGGCATGTTTCCAGTGTTACTGAGCTGTTTAGCTGACCTTTTCATCTTTTTTTCCCTCTTTTAGCAGTGGAGAATGTTTTCCATTCATGCACAGTCAGTGACTGGAGAGGCCCTACACACTTTATTCATCACGAAGTAGAAATGGAAAGGAATAGCACAACTTCCTTACCTGTTGCACGTCAGGACACAGTTTTATGTGTGGAGAGGTGTAATGTTTTTTGTGACTCTTAGTGGTAATGAAAACATTTTGTTCCATTAGTACATGATGGAAATAGGAGCTCCTCTTAAAATAGTATGTATTTTTAAAATAGAATGCATTTTAAAATATTATAACATCAAAATATTGTGTAGCAATATTCTCACTGTTGAGTGTTCTGCTGGAAGATAATAAACTAGTGACTGGCTTTGAACCTCTTAAGAGGAAGCTGTTCTTGGCTGGTAATGATGTCCAGTATCTGTCAAAAGGAACCACAACAGAGGCAACTTTTCCTCACCTACTTAGCTTGAGGACTTTGCAGTTCTCTTGTACTAAACAGGTTAAATCTGATCTGTATATTAATGACAGATCTACAATGAAAAGTTAGGAAGTACTACTGCTAATGCAGTACAAGGCACTCTCTAGTAAGTCTGCCTGGAGTTGCACCTCCAGCATGTTTCCAATTGCTTTTTAGCAGTGAGAGGTGGTTTCTTTCAAGTGTGACATGTATCAGACTAAAGGGGGATACTCTAGCCTTCTTTTTGGTCGTTTTTAAGGTACGGCATCGTTAACGTCAAAACTAGCATTACAGTCTGTGCACAGACAAAAAGATTATGAAGCAATGTGTGAGACTCAGCAGATGCTGTCCATGCGCAAATGTGATTACTCATCTGAAAGGTACACAGCTGTTTCACACCAGATCTCCTTTGTCTGCCTATGTTTTCTCTCCAAATCACACACAAGTTTAACCATTCCCTCAGACACTTATTTGCAACTCTCTGAACACATTGAACCATTTCAAAGGATAGCAGAACAGAGTGTAAGCATGTCTTTCAGGTTAATGAAGGAGACTTTGGGGGAAAATTATTATTTTAGATGTGCCACTGGAATCATGTGATACCAACATTCAGGGCTTCAATTTGAATGCCTGTAGGACTGGGGACTGCTGAAAATGTAGGGTCTTGTTTAAACAGCACTTTTCACTGCCAAAGTATTTGTGACCAAAGTTTTACTCATGGAAAAATGAAAATGGCACTTTCTAGTAAGGGCATGTGGTTGAAATTTTGAAGATAGATGTATGTATTCAGAGGATTTCACTAAATCTGAGAGTATTTATTTTTTTTCGTAACTGGAGCAAAGGACCAGCATGTTTTCTTTTGTCAGTGACCTGTGGCTTGTTTGATCTAATGAGAGTTTAGAGTAATCTCCATACTCTCAGAGTAAGATTCAAACTGTATGATGGTAGCTGCACAACGATATAGGAATGTCTCTCTGTCTATCTATCTATCTATCTGATAATAGGAGTAACTATACTTGATGGAAGAATTGTGCAGTAAGCGAGGCTGCAGAAGTGTGACAGGAAATTTGATGCCAAATGTAGTGCTTTGCTAACAGCCTCTTGGCTTGTACTTATGGGAGAACTGAATCTCTGTGTAAATTCTGCAGGCTTGCAGTAATGAAGAATAATTTGCAGATAATTCCAAAAGAAGCATTCTGTACATGTATATGGCTTCATCTCAGAGGAAGTGTGCTTATTCAATATAGTATTTAAACGTACATTTAAGCACAAGTTTAACTATCAGTGAAATTGTGAGGCTAAGAATATGCTTAATTCCTATCCTTAAAGCAAATCAAAGTGGAACATTTACTTGGGTAGGACTCTGCATTTTTAAACTGATTTTTTAAACAGCAAAGCAAGGAATCTAGGATATTAGTATTGAATAGTTATTGAAGGATACATCAAAAATTGAAATCTAAGTTCAGGGGCATAGCTTGATTTAAACATAAAGGGGAAGAAGATTTTCAGTCCTACAGCTAACAACGCTGTGGAGTTCCCGGTTCAAGAACAGGCTAAAAATCTGAAATAAGAAAAAAAACAGTTGCAATATTTTTGTTGTTCATTTTTCTTTTGATTTTTTTTTTTTTAAGCCCTTAAAGTTAGTTTCCTTTGAAAGAAAACAATATGAAATATGGTATGCTTAGGTATTTTTTTCTATTAAAAATGCTCCTTAAGTGTGGTAATGTTTCTTTAAAATGTGGTACATAAATAATAAAATACATGATGACAAGTACAGATATTACCTTGGCGCAAGCCTGGGGTGACTGAATCAGTTATAGAGCTTGACACTTTTGAATAATGTGATCATTGCAAAAGTGTGCCAATGAAAGCTTCATACCTCACCAGTACGTGTGTACAAGTTTGTTAGTGTGTTCTGTTTCAGCACATTTTCTAGTACTGGATACCATGGATAACTAAGGCTGTGGCTTTTTTGACGTGGTATATGCAAAGTGAAAATAGTTTTGAGAAGGAAAGATCTCAGATTCTATTCCTTACCTGTGCTGACTCTTGGACACCTACTCCTTGCCTTTGCCTTGAACCAGTTTTGATGCTCATCATATCATAAGGATCAACTAACTCAATAAAGTGAAAGATAAGTACCGTGGCAAGAATAAAGGAAAGCGTGACTTTTTTTCTTCTTTGTTATTAAATTGAATCATCTTATCTTGGAACCTGATGAACAGGACAGCCATCAGTGGCTGCAAGGAGTTGCATGTGCCAGGCCCTTTGCTGTCTGCTTTTTGAATGCTTATAGGTGCATGCAGCAGCTCTGGGGGAAACAGCAGAGGGGTGTAATGTGTTTCTCATGTGTTTGCTGTTGGAAGTGTTGCAAGGTGTACCTTAAGAACCTTAGCCGAGGTGTATGACCAAACAAGGCTGTTACCTACCATGTTTGTGTTCACTGCAGTGGTCATAGATGTCCAGTCCCGAAAGGTGCACCCTGGGGTTAAGCTGGGCAGGGTGAACGTGGCCAGATGAAGTTTGTCCAGAGCTTGTAGTTAACATCAGAAAAGCATGAGGAGCATCACTATGGCATTCTAAAGGTCTTGAACTCCTGTTGAGTAGATGAAGATTTGACTTACCCACTTTTCAATGTAGTCCTCTTGATACAGTGCATAAAGCTCTCAGGCACCATCATGCTGTTTGCAAGCACAGATATGGGTGGGCTGATGTGAGCAGGAAGGTGGAGTTGTAGTCTTGGTAAAGGTCTCACACTCCATCACATTGTTGGCAGCTCGCGTCATGCTACCTGAAGAAGACACAATATCCTGCAGCACCACCACTCTGTTCACAACTCTGATCTCACACAGCTTATGTGGGGTCTTGAAGTGGAAAAAGAAAATGAGGAGTGTGTCATATCATGTTGCTGGAAGTGTTAGAAAGCAGGAGGAAGCCATGATCAGAGGGAGGGAGGAGCAGTGGAGGAAAAGAGCAGAGAAATTCCTCTTCCTTTTAGCAATGTTAAGATATTTATTCCAGTAGCATCCACAGAGTAGCATGTAGGATACCTTTCTCCCTTCTTCCTGTGTCAAATACAGCTGAAGATGGGCCATTAATTTCAAAGAGAGTTTGTTTGGAGTGGGGTCTGTGCAAGTAGAAGGATCATTTTTCTTAAGAAGAAAAAAAGTAATTTACTGTTATTATGGGTAGTGCAGCTCTTTAGAGATCCAAAGCATTATGAGATAATTGTGGTTATACCTATGCTCTTCTTTCTGTGGTGTTTACCTTAATGCTTTCTATTACTAGAAAACAGTAAACACTCAAGGATGCAAGAACCTGTTTATCCCTTGCAAGCATGTCGATGCTCAGAGGAGAGCACTGTGTGGGTACTGCAGTCTGTTTATCAGAATCTTGTGATCCTGAAAAACACTCAAAAATCCTCTTGTATAGAGATAGCCCTATGACATTTAGTACTTTTGTGCTTCAGATCAATGGGAGTAGATCCCTACAGCACCTCTCTCCATGGCATTATGTTTCAACCAAAGGAAGGAAATGGATACATTGTCTGGAAACTACTAGGGAAATAGAATTACTATTAGCCTATGAAGAAAATGGTGGTTTTTTTGTAAGGAACATCAGGTTGTTCACGGAAGATGAACAAAAGATGAATGAAGCTCTTCAGAATAGTAGTTTCATTTTAGCTGGCTATATATATCCTGTTGTTTAGTATTTCATCTTTTTAACAATATCCCTTTTCCTCCACTTCTTGCAAATTATCTCTTTCAGTTTCTGCAGATAGTTCAAAATGTTCTGAGTGCTGAAATTGCCTGGATGCTATGCCTGGAGGATTCCAGTGCTGGGCTACTCTCTGCCTTCCAGTAGCTATAAAAATTCATTTCCCTTCCCCCTCTCCTTCTCTGTTTGCAGGTTATCTTGACAAATCAGATTACCACATCCCTGAGCAATGGCCCTGCAATCCAAGCAGACCTGGTGTCTCCAGCTGATGATTTGTCCCTGTCTGAAGGTAAGAGATCCCTTCTATCAGAACTGAAACTCTACACTGACACAAATCCACACTGTAATTTGCAGTCTTCTGTTGATATACAGGGGTCTGAGAGAGTTGAGTTAACAAGTCTAACCTAAGAGTCTGGAGACACAATTATTTTTCAGTTTATCTGAAAATCCATTTATAAATAAAAAGCAAGTATGTGGACTAATTAGAAGGATCTGACACTTTCTGGAGGCTAAGAATGAATATTTGAGCCATGTCAGTTCCTCAGTGTTGTACTGTCTTGCATGTGCATTTAGAGTATTATTTTCTCAGTGTTCTGAACCTGCTGCAAGAGTAGATACACAGGCTAGGCTTCAAATTTCACCTTATCTAATGATTATCAGTGATTCCAAAGAGAACCAACTAGTCACAAAAGAAGGAGAAAGCAAATACTCAGTCCTGTCACTTGAATTATATTTGTCTACTTTTCAAGTACAGTGCCTCAGACTGCATCTCTATGTTGTGTGAATGTAATAGGAGGGGTTTCGTGATGCCATTTATTATTTTACATCTTCATGTTTCTTTTTTCTGCACAGAATTAGAGACAGGCATCCTCTTTTTGGCCTCTTTTTGGGTACTAGTGAGGACTTAGTGTGCTAAGAAGAAAAGACAATTCTAAATCAAGGTTTGCAAAGTAATGTAATAGTTTCAGCTTTCCCCACTTGCAAAGAATAGTCAGAGTACCCTCAGTCAGAGACAGATGCAAAAAAGTTTGTTATTTAGAGTTCAGTTCATGCACAGACCCAAATGTATGATGTAAAACAATGCTTCTCTTTCCTGCAAAGGCGTGATAATTGCCTGTGGACTTTCCACTTTGCATAACTTGCGTATTTCTGCTCTTTCTCTCTTTGCTGCACTTTGTGATGCTTCTGGTCAACTTATGTGTGTTCTGGTAGATCACAAACCCTCTTAGGCTTCCCTGACTTAACACAAGTACAACCTGGTGGCAAAAACAACAACAACAAAAAGTGGTTAAAACTGACATTACTTCTGCAACTCATTTCAGTGGACAAGAGAAAGAGGTTGAAGATAGATTAAACAGAATGTCAAAGAGTAGGAAGTAACTTCAGTGCAATGCCTTAACACTGATCAATGGGTTTACTTCATAATTTTGTCAATAGGAGCTCGGCAAAGCATGACCCATTAAATCATTTTGGAATTGTTCTTGTAGCTTTTGTTGGCTTTGCCCATTGCCAGAGTATCTCTGAAGTTCATTGCTTGGATATTGCTCCTTACCTCTGTCAGAAAGAGTTGAAATTTGGTAACTAGATTTGGAAGAAGAAGGCATAATTTTTCACCTTTATAATTTCTAGGCATGAAATTGTGCATCATCTCATTAAATGCTCTTGATCACAGTACTTGTGCTTTTCCTTGTCTTTTAGAATTGCTGTCTATGAGCTTTCTCTGAAAAGAAAAGCATAGCTGACTCTGAAGGGGAAGTAATAGCAAAATACATTTTCATTAAAACATGTTTTCATCCTGTGCTTAAAATATTTGAAGATACTTTGGAAAAAAAGTTGGCTAGTTTTAATCTTTCTAAATTTCCCAGCAAATATGAAAGACTCTTAGTACTGTGTATGAACCATAGTTCAATAGTATTCTGAAATCAAGACTATGCAAGAGATGGTATAAAGATTTTTGTAGCAGTTACAGGTTATTAATAAAGCTACCATGTTTTGCCTAAGCTATCACCATTATTTTTCACCTTTTAACCCAAGAATGGGTTAAAATGTGTTGGCACTGTGTGTATGTTGTATTCTTTTGTTGGTCTCATTTCTTATTTTCAATTAAGAATCTGAAGTGGTAAAATGGGCCAGCATCACAGTTGTTGAAAATGGAAACCTTTGTTTTGCACAGGGCAAGAACAGCACAGTCAGCAGCCGTGCAGGCTCCTTCAATAGTTCAAGTTTTATCAAGGGAGGTAGGGCTGATGAACTTCTTTCCTTCTCTCCCTTCCTTCTTCTGGTGACTAACATTAGCATGGCTTTTGAATGCTGTGTTGTGTAATGGAAGAACACAGTGCATCTCCACACTACATGGTGTTCTTCCTGTGTCTTTCTTATTCATAAAATGGCTGCTTTGGGATTTCCATTTTTCATCACTTTTAACACATGCTGTCTACCTGTGAGAAAATGTGGAATTTCAGACCCATTCAGCATTTGATTTCTGTGTTTATCTTGCTATCAAAAGATACAGGTGTGGACAGTGTATTTTAGTGGATTTTTTTTAACATTGAGGTGTTGACCTGTCCTGAAAAAATTCCCTCTTTTAATGTATTTCTTGTTAGCTATTAAACAGCCTGAAAGTAGCAATACTTCAATATTCTGATAATTTTGGACTTTCAGAATCCTAAATTATTACTCTTCTAGGGTTAGTGTGATATTTATAATACTTACTATTCTTTTACAACTGTAGAATTTGCAGGAAAGAGTAGTTAGATGAGTAGCCAACGTGGACAAAGAGGGTATGTTGCAGAGTCAGGGATGGGAGGCCAGATTTGTGACTGGGTTCTTACCTCATTGTTCCTTGTCACTCATCACCAACTAAAGCTGAATTTGAACCAGTGACCTAGATGTGAAAGGACCCATAACACATTATTAGTTCTGTAAGCAACTCAGACCACTTGGTTTGTGTATGTTTAATATGTTGTTTTAATCCTATCTGAAATCAGAGTCCTGTCACTGTAAATGGTTTGCTAAAAGGGTAATCTTTCTCAGGGAGAGGCAGAAATGAAAATTTCAAACTGAATGTGCTATCAGAATGAAGTAAAATGTTAGTGTCTTTTGTTTTTGCTTCTAATTGTGCTTGAGAAGGCAATTGCTTGGGTTATGTGTTACATTAGTTAAGAAACCAAGGAAGCTGTTCATCTGATGGGTGACAGAAAGTTAATCTGATGAACAAGCTGAAAGGACATTGTCAAGCTGTTTCAGGCTTAGAGGTTGTCTTCTGTAAAATTGTAATCTAGCCCATGAGAACTTGTGTCCTAAAAATATGTTAGATTTTTATGAGAACAGTAATGGCTTTGTAAAAGCAGTGCTGGCTGTAAAATCCCACCACTTATGTACCATTGTAAGAATTCATTAACTGTTTGTTGGTAATTTTTGTAGGAAATGGTTATGTCCAGCTAAATTCCCAGATCTGTGCATACTTCTGCTTCAAGACAGATAAAAAACCCTTATTTGTTACAAATTAAAGTGATGAATAAAACACAAGTTTCTCTACCATGGTCTGAGCTCTTGCATTCATTTAGCCTTTACGTACTTGCCAGATTATCATCTGAAGGAGTTAAGACTAAAAGTCTTTTTCTCCAACTCTAAAATTCTCAGACATGCAAGGCTGTCACTTCTTCCCTGGGAAGCAAACTCAGCTTCTACTTGTAACTGCACCATTCTTACACAGCCATCTCTCTAACCTTGTCATCAGAGGAGATAGACTGCAGGGTGATTGTGAACACTGCTGTCTCGCTTTCATCCTTGCTTTATGAAGTAGCCTCTGTTTAGCTCTTCCGGTCAGAGACCGTTTCCAGTCTGAGAAGCCTTAAAGTTGTTTTAGATTGCAGGGGTGGTCAGAAAAGCCCAGGACTATCACAAGAGCTAATGCTTTATTACTTAAACATAAAAAGTACCTCTTACCCAATTAAATTTTTTTTTAATAATTAAAAAAGTAAATTTAAGCTGCATTAGGCTAAGTGAACACTAGAAGTGGAATGTAAATGTACACAGCAAACTATTTTGTATGACTGTTAATGGATGTTTTTAAACAAGGTATCTGTGATTGTGACTGAGTTACTAATTTTGTTATTTTTTCAAAGTTTACATGAATAAATTTTACCTAATGTAAAAAGTCTTTAGAAATTAATTCTAAGCCTGTGTGTTAGAGAGCTAGCTGGACAGGGAAATTTGTGCATTTTATTTGTGTGCTGCTAAGAGATAGGACAGTATGACCTATTTAAGGTCCCTTCTAGTTTGCCAATGCCTATCCTGTTAATGTATCTGCCAGCTGCAAGCTCTAACTTCCTGTCACAGACATAAAAGCCGAACTCAATCTTTCTTGGAAAAAACTCAAGAGTGTGTTGGTATGAACAAGAACACTATCCCCCTCACAGTATGCACAAATTGTCAAGCAAAAAAAAAGAATGCTGTCTTGGGCTTCTTCAGTCTCAACTAGTACTTTCAAATATTTGTTTGAAAATGTCAGAATTATTTCGTGTTTAAAATTGTCTGTAAACTTATTCTAGTTCTGGGAAAGCCAGTGTTCAGTCTTCTGCCATTTGTGCTCATCAATCGGTTTGTCGTAGCATTGTATATTTTTAGTGCACAGTGTGAGCGGTGAGTTTAGTCTGACCTTTTCAACTTTGTTGCTCTGATCTTGAATTCTTTTAAGCTGTTGAGCAGAAGTAGGCTTTCGTGTTCTGGAGACTGGAGAAAACTAAGCTACCATAATATCTCCCACCCACAGGATTTTCCTACTGTAGTTTAGGAGCAGAAGATCTGAAGCTGGAATCTTTGACTTCTCTTCCTTGCTTTGCCCTTGATCTCTTGTCAGATTGTGGTTAAATTGTTTTATTCTTCAAGCCTCAGTTTACCATTTTTTAAAATTTGGGGGTATATTTTTATTCTTCAACTCTTTTTTCTTTCTTAATATTTCAGGATATCCCTAGGGGGAAAATAATGACTTGACTTTCTCTTTACCTCAGAATAAGATCAGTTCTGTAGTTTATTACTTCTCTCTCTTCAAATCCCCTTTTTTCAGTCCTGGTGCCAAATGGAGTGAAAACACTGAAGGAATTATCAAGTGAACTGAGGAGCCCCCAGAGATCAGAGACTGTTGGTTGGTTTTGGTTTGTTTATTTATTGATTTATGTGTGCACTTAATGCTTAGGATTGGATCTGCAGGTGACTTAATTAAAATAAAAAAGAATATCCTGTGAGAACATAAACTTACCTGTTTTGCAGGAACCATGAGATTACAGA